CTTTACAGGATGTATACCACTTTCAACTGTATGGTCCACGCTCACCGTGGTATCACACACGCTTCAGACCCGGAACTCACCAGTTCCTGGCCAAAGTCAGTCAGTTGTACGAGTTACACATCTGTACGTTTGGAGCTCGCAACTACGCCCATATGATAGCTCACTTTCTGGATCCGGATGGCAAGTTTTTCTCTCACCGAATATTGTCTCGTGATGAATGCTTCAACCCAAACTCAAAAAAGGCCAACTTGAAGTAAGTACTTGTTTGTTTTTTAAGAGTTGTTGTACACTGTTATATTATGGGTTTTTACTTGAATGAACGTAGATCTTTATCCATAATTTGAACTTATATTGCTACCAGCCAATGTTGGCTCCAGTGGTAAGGCCTCACCCCCCGCTAAAGCTAGATAAAAAAATTAAATATGGTGTCATGATAAAAATGTTTTGTAATAATTCTTAGGCTATTAATTTGATATTATTGTAAACTAATATTAAAATCCTATAATGCATACCCATAATCATTAAATATGTTAACTCCTAAAGGCCATCTCTTTTCAGTTATGATTTTTTTTATTACTGTCCAATCCCAATTCCTGTCTAACAAAATAATTACTTATTACTTATTTTGGATTGTTGATATTTATAGGCAAGCACTCTTGGATGCAATACTTACTTACTTGAATACTTGTTGTCTTAATCTTTGACCAAAGTATATCGGATAGATTGTGACAAAATTATTATATACAAAACTTGCTTTACAAATATCATAAAACTTAAAACTTAAAACTTGAAACTTAGGCTGTGGTAAGCGTGTCTGTTTCTCAACCTGGCATCAAAGGATCATTTGACAACTCGTCAAGACTATACAGGGGCCTATTTGTGAGCAAGTTCTTCAGCTCGGACTTAAACGCTGTACCGTCAAGGTTCCTTAGGTGGTTTGGAAGGGAGTTGTAAATTTTGATAGCCGATCGGGGGTATCTCCTTAAGGTATGACTCAAGCGGCAGCGAGGCATATCCAGGTCATGGGCCCTTCTTATTCCATACTCATGCCTATCACCACGGGTCACAAAATCACCAAGGTTTTCCTTTAGCAAGACCAGACTATTAAGTACGTACTGGCTCACCACTGTGAGGATTCCCAATTCTTTGAAGATGGGTCGGCAATGTTCTCTTGGGCTTTAGATACTCCCTGGTGTGGATTAACGTCCGCACTAGTGAGTACTACGACTATCTTCAGTAGTTCGGATTCCACTATAAACTGTAGGTCCCTTAGTTGCCATTAGCTGTATGGTCTATTAATTAACAGCTGTGTCTAAAGAATATATTGGTCTTAGTCACTAACAAGACTAAAAGATTGCGCCACTCATCCTACACTCATCCTTCACTCATATTTGGGTTAAAATACGCACATAGTGGCGTCCCCATCTTAAATAATTGATAAATACTGTCCTGTATCCTACTACAAACATTGGAAATAACTAACCAACTGTTTAGATGTTAGGCCTACTAGCTCAAATTAGTTAGCACAGTAAAACGTAAACGAACAGACAAATTGCACAAGTGTTTGAGAATAATAGTGCTAGCAACTAGGCTAAAAGATTTTTGGGTTTGCCTTCCGAGAAGTGGCCGAGTATTCGGAGGATTGATAAAACCGGGGTTGGATCTCAGGGGTTCTACTGTATTCTTATTCAATTTAATCACAGCTCTCTCGTGTTTGCAGGGCTCTCTTCCCGTGCGGCGACGAGCTGGTTTGCATCATCGATGACAGAGAGGATGTGTGGAACTTCTCCCCCAACCTGATCCACGTGAAGCCGTATCACTTCTTCCGTCACACCGGAGACATCCACGCACCCCCGGGTCTTACCAAGGACGAGAATGATGAAAAAGAGGGATTCGACTTCTCTCATTTTGCTCAAGGTTGGTAGAGTTTGCTCTTCAACGCTTGTTAGTGGAAACCACCCAAAGATAGCCGCAAATGTAGACATTGATTTTAGCCATACCGATTTGCTGGCAGGACTTTATTGTGCTTTTGAGGCCATTGGCAATTTTCTACGTTCTTGCTAGGGAACACTCCAATCTCTTGTCACAATACAATGTTACCTTTTGTTTGATAGCATCGTAATGGTTCAAACACAATTGGTATCTGGGTCCTGACTCAACCCCTTGTGGGATTGAACCAGCAATCTTCAGATATGAAGGCTGTAGCTCTTTGTCTTTGTGTGCTCAAGATGTAAATCAGTCATATAGCAAGAGTTTTACTGTGTTTAAGATCAGTAATGAAGAGAATCAGTCAATTAGCAAGTACAGGTTGTCTATGTGTTGACAAAGTCGGGGAAAAGAGGAGATGTGGTCGAGAATATCTGTGGTCTGGAAATTTTTTGAAATATTGGGTGCTAAACCTCAAAACTGGCTATGAGTCAAAGGCCAGAATTTGCAATATTGTAAAAAAATCCATTAATTGAATTTAAAATTTGTACAAATCTTTTACGGTTGTTGGATTGTACTATTGGCCACTGTTACCTTTTGTTAATTTTTGACAATGTCACCAGATCAGTGGTGTGTTATTAGTCTCCCACGTCTTATCCTACATCGTTGAAATCACCATCTATGGATATCAGGAGATTTTTATCAATTGTAATAGTTTTTAATAGGCCTTCATTTGCTGGTTAGGCGTGCTAGTTAACAGTTTATGAGTAGGTAACTGCAACAGGAATCAGAAGTCATGCATGGTTAAAATAAAAATTGTAATAATATTAAAGCTAAAAACTACTTGTATTGTTTTTAAATATTGCTTTTTTCAGGCACGTCCATCAGGCCCAAAGAACCGGATCCTGATAAAGGCAAGAAAAAGAATAAAAGAAAGGAAGATTCAAGTGAAAGCGAGTTGGAAGAAGGCGAGTTAAGGTCCCGCAGTAAACAAAACACACCAGAAAAACCTGGGAAAATCTCATGTGGAGAGGAACAAAAGGAGTGTGAGGATAAAAGTGAAGCAATAAGTATGTGTAATGAAGTATCTTCAACAACTGATGACAACAAAGAGAATGACAGTGAAGAAAAAAGTGGAGCAAACGAGATAAACAAGGACGAAATCAAAGTGGAGAGTACTGGGAACAACCTTGATGTTAAAGAGAGCAAAAGTAAGGAAGGGAAGGAAAATTCAATTGATATAGAAGAGAAAGACATTGATGGAGAAAAAGTTGCTGGGGTACAAAGTAACAAAAAGTCTAATGCTGAGGAAGAAAAGAAAAATAAACCAACAAAAGAAGCAAAAGGTGAAATAAAGGTTGTAGAGCATGCGAAATTGGTAAACGACTACATAGAGATTGAGGAAGCCGATGACTATCTTATGTACCTGGAAGAAATACTGAGGAAAATCCATACGTTCTTTTATGAAATTGTTGATGGAAAACGGGAAGGAGACAGAGATTTGAAAAAGGTAAAGTATTTTATCGTTAGGAATGTTAGGATATTGGTAACCTTATAACCTTTATATACCTGGGTAAATGTATTGTTCGCCTAGAAACTAGTAAGATGTGTTTTTAATCTGAAGAAAAGCCAGTAGCTTATTGATTGAAACTGGACCCAGCTGTTCTTGACATTTTGGCTTTTAATGGTCCCGGTTAGAAAAGTAATAAAACTCAGTTTATTCAGAAACAAAGCTACACGGATCATCTCACTCCTTTTTACACTGGTCCTTCACTTATATCGGGGTTAAAATACAGAGCAGTTCATTTCTGTCTCAAGGAGTGCACTTTTGTACTTCTTATTTAGTCTTCAGGATTAATTCATAAATTTCATAAAACAAAAACTGTAAGTAAAGTATAACAAGCGTAATCCTATTCAACCAAATAAAAAATGCACTTACATATATTTGTTCAAAATAATAGCCTAATAAAAAAAATAACAAACTGATATCACTTCAAAATTATAAATTACAGTTAATAGATAACATTATGTTTATGTGACTCATACACACTTGTCTGTGTATTTAAAGGTTAATCTTTAAACCATTCATTACGGCTCATAAACAAGGACATTAATTATAGACAACAGTAAAAATTGTGCAATTTAAAATTTTGATTCAGGTGATCCCAGGAGTGAAGAAGGAAGTGCTGACAGGAACAAAGCTGGCGTTCAGTGGGTTAGTGCCAACCAATCACAGCCTAGAGCAGAGTCGAGCGTACAACATCGCTGTTGGTCTAGGAGCGGAAGTAGTGCAAGACCTGACCAAAGACTGCACACACTTAGTGGCTGTGAGAACAGGGACAGCAAAGGTAATAACTATAATGGTTATTATTATTATAAGTTTTAATGGTCCTCGGTTTATCAGGCCAAGTGTTGTGTATTGTGTTGCGGTGTTGTTTATATCTCTGCAATATTATACAATGAAAAAAAATTGTAATACCTCCATCTTTGTTTGAGGCTTGAACACTAGTATTAACTAGACTTATCAGTTATCAATTACATATTATAGAGTTTTTAAATAGGTTGGTTCATCAGTCTAAATCGTTAGCTGATCGTTATCATTATTGTGGCTTGGTCCTGTGTTGGTTGGATATGAGAGAACCTACTGTATCTATCTGTAGACAGATTTAAAATGATTCCTTTATTTTTTAAAATGATGAAACACTGAAATTTCTATGTAGGTGAATGCCGCTCGCAAATTCAAGCAACTCAAAATGGTGCCTCCTGATTTCAAACTGGTGTCGCCTGATTGGCTGTGGTCGTGTGCTGAGAGGTGGGAGAGAGTGGAAGAGGCGTTGTTTCCAGTGGGGGGAGAAAAGGGGGGCACGAGGCAACCCCCTTCACACTGCTCCCCTCCGCATATCCCACATACACCCGCACCACGGCAGCGCAGCGCCTCCGGCCGCTTCATGGACACCATCAACCCACTGATGACGTTCAGCTCCGAGGTGAGATAGTGTGGTATGCTGAGACACTGCGGTGGGACGTAACCATTACCATTACCAAATCCTTGATTGTAAGCCGTCAATCATGACAATTTCATTTTCACATATGCATATTTACACTATTTATTTACGTTCAAAGTTGGTTTAACAAAATAAAGTACGGTAACTTTTTTCTATTGGCACGCCAGCAAGGAGCTCTTAAATAGGTTGGTGAAGGATTTCTTTTAATATTCTTCGACAGAATAAAGACTTAAACCAATTCCCGACTCTTGTTTTAAACTGCCTAATAGAAAGGATCTTGACCGGTTGAGACAGAGCATTAAACATATTCAGGACAAGACAAGCACTGGTTTGCTCTCTTTTGTCATGGCGACATCGAGAATATTGGCTCTGTCTTAAATGTTACACTGGTATACTTTGTCTCTTGACAATAGACAATAGACAATATTTCTTTAGACATATTCTTTGAAAATAGTTCAAGCGTCAACAATTACAAACAATAATTAAAATTACAAACTGAGTAATTATTTATTTGATTTATTTTTCATTACTTTCTCCTGCTATACTAAGTTTGTGAAATGAAATGAAAGAAATGCTTTATGAAATGAAATGATATATTTCCGTGAACATGACACATGTATGGAAAAAGTCAAAAAAACTAAAACTAAGTAAGAGTACTAAAAAATTGCAAAAATTACATGAATTGTTTGTTCCTGCAACACTCCATGCATAGAAAATAAAATAAAAAAAATAATATGGAGAAAGGATTGTGGTATACGGTACTAAGTTTCTCTTCTCTTGCTACTTGATTCCGATCTTTGTTGCCAATCAAGCGTTTTGACTCTTCATCTTCTTGTGCTTTCCTTCCAATTTTTTTTTCTACATTCCTGTAAAATCGTCGCATTAAACTTTAATCTCTCTTCAATCAGTTGTTCAATTTGTTGTTTAAAGTATACTGTGTATTAAAAATAATTGGACATTAATCCACACCGGGGAGTATCGTATCCATGCTTATAAATATCCAAAATTTGTTACCTCCAAGTAGCTGGATTGCAGGACGACGCCACGGTCCCAGTCCTAGATTACTAAGTTAAGGTAGAAGAATGTAGCCTAAGATGTTAAAATTTGCCCTCTTGTCTAGGACATAGCAGACATGGACGCCGAGGTAGAAGACATGTGTAATGACGAATCAGACAGTGATGGAGAAGGAGAAAAAGAAACAAAAAAGGACACGGTGAGAGAGAGAGTGGCGAGGAAGAGGAAAAAGTCCTTGGAAGGATACAAGGACGAGGACTCATCTAGCTCCGATAATTCTATCTCAGGTAGGATTCTTGTCTTGGCTGTAAAAATATGTGAGGTTTTCTATGAACATGGTATTTATTTGCCACATGAAAACAACCAATTTTTTTCATAGCCTTTGATGTATATACTTTATTGTTCTTAGTATCCCCAATGGTCAGTTGAAAACCAACCACTTCTTAATTCCGTTTAACACAGGTTTAGTTGATCTGATGGTGCTGGCATCCCTTGGTCTATATTGCCCGCTTAGCATATTTCCTTCCAAGAAAGAACATTCTCAATGGCTAGGTTTTGGCTTTTGAAACACAAAACCGGATAACTCCCTGGATAAGATTATTCACCGTTACACACCAGTTCTGATTAAATGAGGAATTTAATTGGTCCACATGGACGCTCCCTTATCAACCACATAAGTAATATTGTAATTGTCAGTTGTTTTATAGCAGTAATGTAATGGTAAATTAATACATAATAGTATTGTTTTTTGGAGGAAAGAGCACTTGGCTTAGAAATACACGAAGAAAGAAGAAATCAATTCACAACTAACTCACCCAAGTAAAGAATTCCGGGCAGTTGATTCACACAAAAAGTTTACAATACAATTTATCTGATATTCTTCCCCTATAAGGAGGTTTCTTCATGAGTAATTAGTTTTGTTGTAAGCTTTTTTGTGCTGTCAACTACCTGGAATTCTTCTGTTGGTTAGGTTAGCTGTGTGTCCATTCCTTATTCCTCAATGTATTCTTAAATACAGAAATATCTATATCTATATACTATACTCATTTAATACGCAAGCAGGTTTTTTTGACAATTATTTAATACGCAAGCAGGTTTTTGTTTTTTGTGACAACTACTCCTCCAAACCTATTGAACCGATTGACATGTTTTTGGTGTCATTGGAAAGAGCGGAACATGAAGTTGTATAGGAAACTTTCTTTTTAGGGAAATAAATAGAGAGTGAGGCCCTGGGGCCCTTTAAAGTTTTGTATTTCTCCATAAGATTAACATGGGAAACAAACATTGTTATGAAACTCCAGCTGTTGACAGAAATTAAAAGTGAGAAGAAGAACATAATATGTTAATTAATTGTATAAACAGTCAACAAGTTTGCTAATTTAACAGTTTGCTACAAACATTTACTGACTTGTTTGAAATGAAATATTTACTATTTGAATTTGGGTTGGCGTAAATATTACAATGGAAAAAAGCGAGAGAGCCTGGATAGTTTGATATACTAAAAAGAAAACCGAATTAACACTGTGCTGCATTTCTTAGTGAACATTGAAAGAGCCGATTTGAAAACTATGGAAACATAGAAAAGTCATAGAACACCACCAAGGAAAAGAAATAGAAATTTTTTTTTAAGAATCTATAATTGTTATTATGGACAACCTAATGCGGCTATGAGTAAGGCTATTTGTAGAAACACTAAAAACAAGATCAGCTTTTGAAAAATGATAAGATATTTACAAAAAATGTTGATTATATCGATCTGTTATGTACATCTTGAGTATTTCCATAATCTTTGAGTCGAATCTTTAAAGTCATCAGAAATTATGACTGTTATTAGTTTAAAATAACGCCTGTAATACTTAGTAATTGCTCGAATCCGAGCAACAGGTACACTAGTTTTAATAATAGTGCAAGTTATTGTTATAAAGATATAACTTCCATTTTAGGTTCAATTGTGCCCAAAGGCTGGGGAAAGAAACAGAAGTTAGAGGACGAAGAGGAGGAAAAGGCAAGAGAATCATCTGATAACGAATCTTTGGCGGATATATTCCGACGGGGAGAAGAACTGCCGAGTGACGTCGAGGATTTGGGGAGCGAGGAGAACTCGGCCGGAAGTGAAGACGCTCTAGATGAAATCAGCGATAAAGACTGGAACATGATGGGGGCCGCATTAGAGCGAGAGTTCCTGGAAGGGGAGTGAATTCTGGAGAGAGGGAAGTTCAAAGTACAGGCAGTTTCTGAAAAGAAGTTTGGAACACTGGTGCTTATTTTGGTCCAAGTCTGGAGCACCAGTAGTTTCCAAGTGCAGAGTACAGGGAATTTCCAGGATGTCCATTTTTCTGGAGTGGGGAAGATCAGGAGCACGAGAAACTCTGGGAAGGGAAAGAACTCTTGAGAACCTGCCCCACTGTGATACTTATGTACCTCTAGAGTTGAGTTAAGGGTAGCAACTATTTGATCGTAACAAATTACTGTGCAACTACTTTTTATCCATGATTCAGTTTAGTGTTGTACAATGTGTAGGACTAATCACTTTCAAATAGGATTAAATTCTCTCAAATTTTTGTAAACGGTTTTTACTTATTGTTTTGTTTTTTTTACGTAAGAATGCATTGTAGATGTCAACTGATTTATCAGTAATTTTATTTTGTTACAAGCTTATTAAATAACAGAATGTTAAATTTTTTGCTTTAAGGTTATTTTTGTTTAGTCAAGCAACGTTTAAATTCTTTAAATTAGCTCGTTAATAGTCTGGGTGAATTGTCATGATAAATTATTGTTTTAAAAATTCATAGATTTAGCAGTTTTAAGATTCTAGGAACATTGTGAATTTTTTTGTTTTCTCTTCTCGTAAATTCTTTTTATAACAAAGAAGTTTTAGTTACTGTTTTAGTCAGATAACTTTGCTGCTACTGATGTTCTTAAATTTATTTTAAACTTGCTCTCGTGGGTTTTAAAACTGAATGTTATTGTAAATTACATTTAGATATAATTTATTAAATAAAATTCTTGTAGAATTATTATGTTTTTCTAAGTGTTTTGAGTGGGATTACAATTTTTAAAGCAACAAGGTAGCAAAAGCCAACAATTTTAGTTAGCATTGTGATAATTTTATCATTTCATGGTATAATTAAACTGATAAAGTTGGATATTATAATGTACTTTTTAGTATGGCTCGGTATTATTTCTGAAAATGCTAACTATTTGATAATAAGCTATGTATTTTTCAATCACAGGATAAAAATTAAGTCATTGTATCAATAAGATAGTAATTATATTTGTTTGAAAAAAAAATCAAAAATTTTAAGTTCAAAATTAAGTGTTTTATCAACATGCATATTTTTTATTCTAGGTAAGCCCGATGAAGTTTGCATGAAATTGAAAAAATTGAGAAGTCACATTCAGTGATTTTAACTAAATTCAATAAAATATATTTACTTTAAACATTTTTAACAGAAATAAGCTAAAAAGCACTGAAAACTAACAAACATTTTTTAAGGGAAGCTTACAGGCATATCGGTAAGCAGCTACATACACAAATTTGTAATACAGTATTTGAAATATAATTCACTTTATCCAATGTAATCTTTCTACTGTCTCGTTATGCCCTTGTCAGTATTTTCAGTAGATCACACTATTTTAATCAAGGGTTCTTTTTATTGAGACTGGAGCTTATTTGATAAATGTATTTTTTTAATATGTATCAAAGTAAAATGACATATAAGGGTCTATTTTGTTAAATATTACGTAAGTCAGTACTTAACTGCACTTTATTCTTGTATTCTTAGTGCAGATAATAAACTGTAAAAAATGTTTCCTTTAAGTTGTTGTAAAGCATTGTAAAATATGTATATTGTAAGAAAATACTTCATTGTTTAGTTTACTGTGGGTATCTAAGTAAGTTTTTGTTTAGTCTGGCTAATCAAATATCAAAGGCTCAGGCTTTTTTGTTTCAACACTTTGTCATTTCTTACTAAAAATATTGTCTGATATAATATTTCCTATCAGTAAGAAACATTGTTAACATTGTATATAGTTATTGGTAGTTCTTGTAGATTAAGATGACCGTTTTCCTATTATTCAATATTTAGGTACCGAAACTTTGGTTAAAAATTGTCAGAATATTTTTGCATTTAGGCTGAGATATCAAAGCCAAAATTAGGCCTAGATATGTTTGTTTGATAGGTCTAACGATGAACGCTTATCACTTACGTTAGTAACTTATATATGATCAATTGAACATATTGGTACAAAGTTTGTTACTTATGTCTTAAGCTAAGTTAATTGTATGATATGTAAAAATAATTTGCTCTTGTTTGTAATATTTATGTTTTATTCCTTCAACTTGTTACAAGTTTTCTACTTCCTGTGTGTTATTGCACATAAATATGAAAACTATCTCTGGCGTTTCTTTCATAACCTTATACACTTAAATTTGGTATTAGTTTAGAATAATGTTTTTTGATTGGTAATTTAAGATTTGTCTATTTATTATTTAACTATATGCCTGGGGAGCAAACTGTTCTAGTGGTAGTGCGTGGGACTTTGGTCCCTGAGGTCCCGGCTTCTAATCTTGCCAATCACCAATGGATTTTATCCATGTCATAATGCCATTCCCTCTAGCCTAGCCTGAAGTAAAGTGTAAAAAGGTTTTGGGCTAGAGCCGACTGCCATAGGATGTGAAGGTGAGAAAGAAAAATGCTCTGCTGGATGAGCTTTGTTCACATTCCACAGATCACCTCAGGTTTTGAGTAAGTCCCATCTTGGAAATAAAATTCATCCATCAATTTCCCATACTTGACGTAGCATTGACCAAACACAAGCCAATCCAAGATCAAACAATGAAATTCGTCGGTGTGATCCTGCTCACCGGGGTTTCTATGCATGGTATACTTTACGTGGCCTACTCTAAGGTTAAGAATCGAAACAGCTTGAAAATGATCTTACCGTCCAACAAATCCTACTCACTCCTGCAACGCAGTATGGAAAGTAGTTGTAATCAATCATTCAAATGATCCTCCAATCTCGTCATACAAACAACACCTTGTGTTACCCAAACTTCGTGTCTTTGGGTCTTCGTGTTACCCAATCGATATGGAGTTAAAAACTAAATCATCATGTAGACTCAATGTTAAAGTGTATTAAAATGTTTTATTATTTGAATCATCTAAAATGTGTACACATACTTTTTTTTATTTGTTATTTAGATAATATCTAATAAATATTAAATTCATTCCGAGCAAAGCTCGGTCTCCTGGTACATTTATATAAAATTGTAAAAGGTCTGCTAAAGTTAATTTTTTATTAGATCAGACCGACTGAAAAAGTTGTTTGCCAACAATTAAATTCTTCATATGAATTAATGTTTAAATTAAGTAATTATAGCGTAGTAATTAACACAGCTGTGGTCTTTAACTCATGTTTAAATGTCACACAGTAGTTTAAGCTAGCAAACAAAGGCAACTATAACTGCTCAAGTGTGGTACAAAACAATGACTGATATTTGTTGTTAGGTTTAGGAAGCAGTGCAGATTACTTTTAAAATGTGGATTGTTTTCGCTGTGTTACTGTTTTGTTCACTGACACCAACAAAAGGTAGGAGTGATTTTGGGATTTAATTTCAATAGTATTTAAACCTTTAAACCCTTTGGATTATTCTATTCATTTACACAAAGATGTGATTGTAATAAATGTGAACAAAAAACAGAATTATTTAAAAGGTATTTGGTGTACACTTAGACATAGTAAGCATTGTTAAAGTAGGAAAACACTTGATCAAATGTGCATTAACTCCCAGAGGATTTACCCAAGTCATACACGTTTATTTTTTGTGGAATTCTCTCAAGCATGTCACTGAGGAGTAACAAAAATTGCTGGGCAAACATCGCAAATAAATTCAATTGGTCTCACCTCACTGAATAATACACACAAAAATTGAAATGTAATGAATAATTTGAACATGTAATTCATTTGTGTATTATTTAGTTATATTAAGTATTTCTTTTCAATTAAGTAACAGACACTTTTCTCAAGGGGCTTGCAGGTCTTTTGCAAGATTTTGATAACATATAATTGTTTCCAAGCTATCGTTTTGTTCATACTTGAAACTTTAAAGTCTACCTTTTTATTGCTGTACATAAAATAGGTAAAATTTTAATAACATTATAGGCTACATTGTTATTTTTATTTTTTCAGCGTGTGAAGAATTTGAATTTCAAACAATTGAGAGTAAGTCTAGCATTCTTAATCATGTGTTTTAATCAACTTACAAACTAAGAGACCTTTGACTGCCATATTTTTTTGTATTGATATTATTATATCAATTATATGTCTGCGATTGTTTGATCTATCTTATAAAAACTTAATATTAATTTGAAATTTTCTTTAAACAAATTTCTTCTTTTTCTGGAAATAGGTATACTTTTTTTAGTAGTTGAAAATAATACAATCTTTATACAATAATAATTACAGTGTAAATAGGATTTTTGATATTTGTAATTTTTTAAATTTTGGGAGTAGACTGTCATCATGGCAAGCCTACAATAATTGTTTTTGGACTAAGTGCAAAAATAAACATCAAACCGATCATTTACCAGTGTAGTAAATTTAAAAAATAGAACATTCTTCAAAGCAGATCAGGTTATAGAACAAACATGATTGTTTCATGGTCAAAGATAATTTTAAATTAATTGTATTAAAAAAAAAATAGTTAAAAGGGAAATAAAAAGAGCCCACTGCAGTTGTGATTATTTACTTTACAATTTACACAACTGTCATTGAAGTGCCCTGGATGAGTGGAATCCTTGTTTGTAAGCTATTGGCAACGATGATTAAAAAATTTAAGTTCCCCACCCCTATACAACACTGATTCAATGTATTATTCCCAATCAAAACTCGAGTACAATTTGATACACACAGAATCTCCGGTATCTGAATCTTGAATCTTGAATATTGATAGGTACTCTAATTGTCTCGGAGTAGGCCGTGTAAATTTGTAATTTGGTGCTACAGACACAAAGACTCGTTTCAGCTTTCTTAGGCTATATAGACATATAAATAACCAAAAACTACACAATGTACAGACAAAACTTATTTTATTTATATAGATTGTCATATATACTATGTATTAGAAATATTTTACAACTATTAACCTACAGTAGACTACCTCTTATCGGGACCAAGCCCAGTCCGGATAACGTTTTTTATGGTTAAACCGATGTCCCCAATAACTCGTCAAACGGACCGTTTAAAATCATACTGTATACAGAATTTGGCTTCATTTTAAGAGAATAGAATTAGACACGTGATCACTGGTCTCAAATATTTCCCATGAGAACAGTTGTTTCAGTAACGCCCACTTCCTGCCGATAGTCCGGTTAAACCGATGTGCTGAAAAAAACTGTCTGGCTAAAGAGATGTCATTTCCGGCGAGTGTAGTCCAGTTAAAAAGGTGTCCGCATAAGAGGTAGTCACTTTATTGATTAACATTCTAATGCGCTTTACCATTGCTCTGATTTCACCATACTATCATTTAAATAGTTCTTCAAAGATTCGAATGGGAACGAACTATCTTACCATTAACAACAGCAGATGCAAAGAATAACCAATGGCAAAGAGTTGCGCATCATTGGACTTACAATTTGGAAATATACCGGTACACAACCATCAACAACTTCTTCATATTCTTCTACGCTGATCAACTTGTGGGAGTTGGACTTGCTGTAAGAAAACGTTTTTCAAACTATTCATAAATTTGATAAAGAAAACCTGCATAGTAGAAAAAGAAAGGGAAGATGGGGCTTTTTTATTCACAGATTAGACTAAACTGCACCACCTTACAAAATTGATTGCATAAAATTAATCTGCACCTGTTAATGTTTCAATAAGAAAATCCATTAGTTGGTTGAAAAAGCTCTTCCTTTAGCAATTTTAGATTTCCCTCCTATAGCTAGACTTTTAGTTTGAATATAACTTTTAGTTTGAGACCCTATAGTTATTGTCAGAACTACAACAATTTATTATTGTTATATTTAATTTATGGGTTTTCTCCAAATATAGAGTTAGGTGCCATATGACCACTGACCAGGTGTAATTCTTTGTACAGTAATATCTTCACTAGCCAACGACGATTTCTCTTTTCTTCAAATTACACACTGGTAAACTTGAGAAATCATCACTCTAATGATAACTAAACCTAATTTCTCACCACTATGTTTCCTACGTTTTGAAAAATAAACTTTTTTCAGTACAAACCAGACTCAGAATCTCAGGAAGTAATAACTAATGAAGAGTATCAGGAAAATGTAGAGAAGAAAGGGAGAACCAAGGCCCTAAAAAAGTATTTAAAAATAAAGGCCAACAATATTTTGAGCGATGCGAAAAATCTTGGAAAAAGATATATGTTTAAACATACAGTGACTGTGGACCACAGGAAGTTTAGATACGCAATGGTTCTCTTTGTAAATCCAGGTAAATAAGATATGAGCCATCAGAGATTAAATTAGGGCGATTATATACACGGTGGCAGTAAAAAAGTGTCGCTCGAGCGACTTGGCGTTTGTGAAGAAATTGAGTTATAAAAAAGAAAGAAATAGATAGAGAACCTTTACTTTCAATGATAATCAATTAACTGATAATGTTTACGAATATTTTTAGGAACATGTTCTTTAAATTTCTTCTAACATACTCCCGTACAACAAAAAAAAAGAACATCAGCTTGAAGATGATATTGGTAGGCGACAAAATTTCACAATCGCCCTTTGCAATATACCAGTAGCAGTGTCACTACTCGAGTTTACTTGTCTTGTCTTGGGTGAACGTTAATAGCTCTAGCAAAAGGCCACTTGGTGGAGGATATCATTCATCAATAATGAGAACAATTGACCCGATTTCCTCTGGTGTTGATGTAGATCTCCACTTGTGTTTGCATTTTTTGTGTTCTCTAGACCACCTTTTCCAAAACCTTTGTTTCATTTGTTGCAATTTGGTGAGTCAGTGGCTCAGTTGGTAGATGAGTCGGTGGCTAAGTTGGTAGATGAGTCGGTGGCTCAGTTGGTAGATGAGTCGGTGGCTAAGTTGGTAGATGAGTCGGTGGCTCAGTTGGTAGATGAGTCGGTGGCTAAGTTGGTAGATGAGTCGGTGGCTCAGTTGGTAGATGAGTCGGTGGCTAAGTTGGTAGATGAGTCGGTGGCTAAGTTGGTAGATGAGTCGGTGGCTCAGTTGGTAGATGAGTCGGTGGCTCAGTTGGTAGCGTCGCAGACTTCGGGCCCAAGGCAGTAGTGTCGAGGGATCGGATCCTGGTCACTGCCACAAACTTTTATCAGTACAGTTCACCTTCGTACTGTACCGGCTCACCCCTTGCTTTGCTGGATACGTTCCACAAATGGA